AAAATAATTCAATTTTGAATGGTTATTAGACTTCACTTATGTATTCATACATGTTTTCTGCTTTTTACCTGAGGCAGAGTTTAGCGATCCTTTTAAAAAAAAGAAGACTTTTGTTATACACTAACAAAAAGAGCTTTGTTATGTTTGTGTTATGTTTGCCAATGCCCAAGTTATATGACCAAATTACCTGTTAATTCCCTTTGCAAATGCAACTATTTTCCACAATCTGTAGTGCCATCATACTGTTCTGTTTGCACCATCTTCCTGGGTGACCTGATTGATATGTTAATCATTGCTACCCTCTGCAAAGAACAGATGCTATCTAAAATTAAGTGCTAAAATTAGTTGACAAAGGATTGTAAATTCCTGCGAGACCTCTTTGTCCTTTGCAAAGGGAAACAAAGATCTTCCTCATTCCTTAGTGGATCAAGGATTTTCTCATTTCCTGATCCACGCCCATAAGCCATTCACTTTGTAAATGCTCTTTTTAAAAAAGTCTGTGAAAGTTTTAAGCAAGTTACACAGCTCTGTGAACTCCAACTGCACTGTGTCCCTGTTACCAGGTAAAATAAATCAGTGCTGCTTTTTCTTCAAAAACATGTCTTGCCCCATTTTTGGACACCAAGTTGGGGGGCTCGTTTTTGGGCTACAAGATTTTATATTCTTTATATGCATGTATCACAATGAATGGCTTTTATACTTTCCTAGAAAGAAGGCTGATTATTCACCATGGTGCTTTTAGAATCAAGTCACAATACCCATGTAAACATGGCTTACACAATAGACCTTTGTCATCAAACAGAGTAACCTGGAGATAAGCACCCCTAGGGATGATTCCCTTGTTTTCTGGCTCTTTCTGCCTTTTTGACCTGCCACCCTGTGCACTGATGTTTTTGCTCAAGGTCACAAGATGACTGCGGTAACTCATATAACCAAGGCCCAGGTCAGAAAGCAAATGTGATAGCAGACTTCTTGCTAGTCTTATGTTTATTGGGTAAGAAAATCTTTCTCAGAAGTCCATCAAATGAACTTATCTTCCAAACCTGTGATCAGGGTCATGTGACCCTGTTCATGTCATGTGATCCTGTTCATGTTACAAGGTCACATGAACATTCTTAAACTGTTGATTGGCAGCCAGAATTGGAATGTGGTGACAATGTAGAATCAATAATCCAACCGTACAGGCAGAGCTCACATGACCTAAACGCCTCCCAGAGGACCTAACTCCCACAGTGTTACAACTGGAGATTAAATTTCTAACATATTCCAAACTTTTTTGGGAAACAAATTTAAATGATCACACTATATCATCCTCTAGAACTCAAATCATCTTTTTTTAGCATATCACGAGCTATATTTAACAAAGCCTGGGTCAGGTTATCAAGAGAAGGAAATTCTGTGCCACAAAGAGAAGCATAGGCTAGTCTTGCCAAGAGGAGAAGGCAAAGGAAGAAAATAGAGAAAACACAAAACTACATGGTATCTATTTTGTTTTCTCCAAGAAGACATTTTGCTTGTAGCAGACATTATTAGCTGTTCCTAGTAGTCATTACCCAGATGTTATGGCTTGAATGTGTCCTCCAAAATTCCTGTACTAGAAAACCAATCCCTATTTAAAGTGCTGAGAGAAAGGACTTTCAAAAGGTGATTAGACCATGAGGGATTAGTGTGCGACATGAATGGATTAATGTGTTATCACAAGAGTGGATTCATTATCATGACAGTAGTCTGGGTATGTAGGTGGGTTTATCCCTCTCTTAAGATGCAACATCTTCAATTGTATTTTGACTTAGCAAAAAAACCCTTACTTGCGTGTGACTTCTAAGCTTCTAGAATCATGAGGAAAAAAGTCATTTTCTTTATAAATTATTCAGTCTCTGGTATTCTGTTATGGCAGCAGAGATTGGACTAAGACATCACTTCTCTCTTGCCAGGAGTACCAAATTTGTTTATATTTGGAGCAATAAATTGTTCTACAGAGTTTAGACCATTCTGTGGCTTACCAGTGAACTGTAATTTTTCTGTGTTCATCAGTAAATCCATTTCCTGTTTCTGTTATCATTTGAGAAATGAGATCTCAAGGAAACTCTGCTATGGAGCCCCTAGAAAAGGGCAAACAATGGTGTCTCTCTGTCTCTGTCTCGGTCTCTCTCTGTCTCTCTCTCCATCTCTCTCTCTCTCTCTCTCTCAGTGTCTTTCTCTGTGTCTCTGTCTCTGTCTCTGTCTCTCTCTCTGTCTCTCTCTCTCTCGGTGTCTTTCTCTGTGTCTCTGTCTCTGTCTCTCTGTCTCTGTCTCTGTCTCTCTCTCTCTCTCTCTCTCTCTCTCTCTCTCTCTCTCCTGTCTAGGAACACTGAAGTATTTGGATATATTTGATGTGACTGCTGCAGCTGTCTTTCAATCCTGAGGGAAGTTAAGTCTGTAGTTACCATAGTGAAAATGGCTTTCTAATTATACTGATGTGCTTATAATTTAGTCAACTTTTTCCATACTCCTCTCAACTTCTTGGAATGAGAAATAGTACATTTTCTTCTTCTCTTAGTCCATTTTGTTTGATTGTTTTGTTACTGGTAATCACATAATCCTGATTCTACATTCACATAATTTAATGAGACATTTCCAAATCTAGATATAAAAGAGCTAAAAGAGTATACCATCAGTTTTAAATACTTAAGAAAATAATTTTACTTACAGTTCTTACAAGCAAGACGATTTTCAGAGCCCATGAGGAATCAGATATGATACAGTATAGGGACACAAAGAATATAAATTGCATGATCCTTGAATTCAAAGCATTCAAAATGCAATTGTCAGTAAAACATTTTAATTTGTTACATCAATGTTAAAGAAATGGTTCCATTATTTTCAAGGATGGTACCTATTATCAGCCAAGTAATAAATTATACTATTATACCACAATATATCAAATATCAGAATCCCTTACCACACAAAAATCACTGGATTCTAACCTATATTAGATAAATCTTTAATTTCATGAGGTCAGTCCTTCTTTTGAAATAGCTACTCACATGTGAATACTAGATTTACTTTTCCCCTGAGCAAACTGAAATCCAAAGAGAAAGGCATAATGTCCCATTTTTTACTTAAAGTATTTTACCATTTACGAATAATCATCATGAACTCAGAATTAGTGCAGTCTAAATTAATGAGTGCTCATTGTATTTGCCTTTGAGTATGGTGATTTTCTACTTAATAATTTATCTTTTAAAGTACTGATGAAGATAAACTGAACACAGAGATGGCAGACAGCAGGTTGACCTGCTCACACTTTGATAGATACATTTTGGTATTTGAGGAGAAAGTGCCCAGGGCAAAGAGTGTCCTAAGTACTGCTAAGTGTGCATTTTGCTTTCATAGAGATCCTAAGGGACATAAAGAGTGCTGAGCCAAGCCAGGAAGGCAGCAACCTAGATAGGAGTTACGCAGGTTCTGAATGTGGGTACTAGAGCATAAATTTATTAAAACCTCACTTTAGGCCATAAAGTGAATGCACGAACAAAGCAGTTGCTTCTGATAGCTAAGTTAGGTTTGATTTGACTTGTTTGATTTTTAATGAAAGCATCAAGATTTAGCAAATCAGGATTTATTTTATTTTAACATATTTAATTGACAAATAAATGTTGTACAATCAAGCTGTGTAGAGTGACGATTTGCTACACATTGTACACTGATTATCACAGTGAAAATTAACACATCAATCACCATCCTACTGGCATTTGTGTCAAGGAGGATGAGGACTTTTTTAAGACTTATTTTTAGTATCAATTTTCAAATAAAAAATACAATGTTATTAGGTATTACCATGTGTAAAATAGGTTCCCAAAATTCACTTATAACAGAAATTCTGTATTCTTTGACCAATATGTGCACACCCTCTCACTTCCCCTCCTCCTGGTAATTGTCTTCACACTTCAAGTCTTAGGACTTTAACTTTTTTAGAATCTACACATAATGAGCTCATACAGTATTTGTTTTTCTGTACCTGGGTGATTTTACTTAGCCTATAATTGTCTAGAAGATTTATCCATATTTTCAGAAATGGAGGATTTTCTTCTTTTATGGTTGAACAACACTCCACTGTGTATACATAATACATTTTCTTTATTCATTCAAGCACTGATGGACAAATAGGCTGTTTCTGTGTCTTGGTTATTGTGTAATAAACATGTAAGTATAGATGTATCTTCAAGATGCTGATTTCATTTCATTTGGCTATTGTATTGGTCAGCTTTTCTTCATGGGATCAAATACCAGACACTCATAACTCGAAGGAGGAAAGGTTTATTTGTGACTCACACAATTTCCGAGAATTCAGCCCATGATTTCCTGATTCTGATGTCCAAACATTATGGCAGAAGGATGCGGCAGAGCAAAGCTACTGAGTGGTTAGGAAACAGCATGGAAACAGGGTCAGAGATAAAAGAGCAAGGAACCGTGAAGTCTATAAGCTTTGCCTTCAATATCCACCCAGAAGTACGCTCTGGTACTTACCTAGGCAGCTCAAAAACCAGTGAAGCTGACACTCTAGTTTAACTGTCAATAATATGCATTCAAAAATGGAATTGCTGGATCATTTCATAGTTTTAGTTTTAAACATTGTTTTAAGGGAGCCTCTTAATGGCTATCCCAGTGTGCACTCACATCAATAGCATACAAGAGTTCCATTTTTTCACACCTTTGACAACACTTATCTCTTGTCTTTGTGGTAATAGACATCAGACATCTGTCCCAAAATTGGTTGTAGTATAACCATGGATTGCTGAATGCAGATCAGCCAAGCAGTGATCTCAGGAAAACCATTTAAAAGCCCATCACTGTTGCAATGAAGCCTGTAAATAGAAACTCTTCGTTCATGCGGAATCCTCATTCTCACTTGAATCCCAAATAAAAGATTACCTGGATTAGAAAGAAGCTGGAAAAGGCAGATGGAAGATGAAAGCAACTTCAAGGGACCAAAGGGCATTTTAGCTTCCAAAACTTCCTTTTCAGCAAACCAATTACCAAGGACTATCTGCTCTTTACAGAATACTGCAATCTTGGAAGATAATGTTAGTACATTGATATTTAAATAAGTACAATTCAGTGTCAACTAATGAAAGACAAGGAGAGGAGAAGCTCTCACATATTGGGGAAGATTGAGATCAGCTAAAGGTAATCTGATATCTTGGGTTGAATTCCACAATAAAAATACACAATGAAAGTATTACAAAAACCAAAATACAGTTTGCAGTTTAGTTAATGATATAATACCGTGTTAATTTCACAGTTTTTATTCATATGATTATATAAGATTGAATCAATAGGGCCCCCTGCATATAAAAGTACTCTGTGTATCATTACAGTTAATGTTTTATTTTTTATGAACATTAAAATTTACCATTTAAGATTAAATTTAAAAGTGGAGAATGTTCAAGACATTGTATTCTATCTGATCAATTCAGCTGTAGAAACTGCTTTGAAAGAAATTCAGACAACTGTTTGACTTAATTTCACGGTAAATAATGTCCACTGTGCAGGAGTGGACAAAATCTAGATAAAACTCGCTGCCTCTTGGGTGAGAGCTACTGATTTGAGGTAAAAGCTGAAATATGTATCAGTAATACAACTACTCATTACCGGCTTTCTATATGCCAGTCCATTTAACATCTGTGATTTGAGAAAGATTTAGAGTTTGGAGAATCTAAACGTCAAGGCAAGGAGGTAAGCCTAGCTGTTCTTAAAATCTGTTCTTTGTAGACTGGGTTTCTGCATAAGATTTCATTTGGTTAGAAAAGTTCTATTGCATAACTTTTCCATTTTGTAGTGCAGAAAAGGACTCTTAGTATTTTTTATTCTTGCTGTGGAAAATTTTAAATATCCACAAAATGAAAGAAATGGCTTGGTAAATATATGTGTTCATTATCCAGCTTCCACAGTTATAAACTCATGACCCGTTCTTGTTCAGTACCCCAGAAGCCCTATCCACATTTACTCCAACAAAATTTTTGCAGTAAATCATAGATATAACATCAATTTATCTGTAAATATTTCTGTATGCGTCTCTAAGAGATATTTTTGTTAAGGAAAAAACCCCACAGTATCTGTATCATACTTATAACAATAATACTGTTAAATATTCAGGCAGTGTTGCGATTTGTCCACTTACTCATATTTTATTATTTTTAGAGCTTATTTAAACAAGAACTATGCCTGGCATTTGGTTTTTATGTCTCTTAATTGTCAGGGAATTTAAGGCTCCCCCCTTTTTCATGATTTTTTCATTCTTCATTCTTCCATTTCCTGGATTTGCTGACAATGTTCTTACGGTGCCATTTAACCCATTCTTCTGTCTATTGGTGTCTCTTCTGGCTATCGTTTCATATATACTTCCACACTAGCATCTATTCTGGTCCCAACAGTGATTTCTTCCCTTGCTTTGATGTTATTCCAGCACGCTTGAGACCTGGGCCCATGTACCTGGTGCAAACTGCTATTCAGATTGCTTACAGTCACCTCCAACTTCAATAAGTCTTCCTAAACACAAAACCTTGTTTGTTCTCTCTCTCTTTACCAGTTCTTCATCCTAGGCAATCCTTCATCCTCAGTGAATGGAATCAAGTCTTCACGGAATGCAAGCCAGAAGCATAGGCACCATCTTGGACTCCTTCCTCTCCTTGACTCAAAGCCATTCCAATCCCTTTCAGTCCTACCGGAACAATTTCATCTGTTCATCCCCTCCGTCTCCAATGCCAACACTCTCTGTCGCCTCTGGTGTCTCTTACCTGGATTGCTTTAAAAACCTCCTAACTTATTTCCCCTCCCCATTCTCACTCTATTTTAAATTTACTTTATTCTGCATTTAGAATGATTGCTCTGAAACAAATATGACCATACTGCTCTCCTATTTAGAATCCTTCAGGGTCTCTTCGTTGCTATAAGACTAAAATGCACTGTTGACATGGAAAGCCTTCTGGATTCAGACCCTGCTTACTTTTCCAGATCGGTTCTCTCTTGCTTTCCTTGTACTTTTTATCCTGAGGGACCTCTTACTGAACCTCCAAAGGTGCTCCCAGTCTCTTGCACCTTTGGGTACTGTCCACATAGCCTTCCTCCTCTTACCTGCTTAAGTTCTGCATGTACCTGGATTGCTTCTGTCACTTTCCTTCAGTTCCCTTCCCTGGATTCCCTCAACACGTCTATTATTTATTGCTCCACATTGCTCTCTTGTCACCGCACTAAGCCCTCTAACGCAACTGCTTGTATCTCTTACGACGCAATAATCTTCTTAAAAGTAGGCCAAGATATGTTACTGCTTTCATGTTCTCTGGGTTGCACAAATTTCTAGTATAGAGTAAGCTTTTAAATAATCAATTAGCTAAATCAATAAAGCAATGTTGTGGTTCATTGTATTTGTCTATTTGACTGGGGGATACTCAGATTTCTGGTAAGCTGTTACTGCGGAGTATTTCTCTTAGGTTGTTTCTGGAAAACATTATTATTTGAGTCAGTAGACTAAGAAAAGAAGATCTGGCTTCACAATGATGTCAGGAAGGCATATTCCAGTCCACTGTGACGCTGGGTAGAACAAACAGAACAAAATGGTGGAAGAGGAGCAAACTCAGTGGGCTGTCCATCTTGTCCTGTCACTGGACATCAGGGGTCTATGTTCTTGCATCTTCAGATATCATGACTTAAACAAGCACCTCCTCACACTCCCAGTATAATCCTTTTACAATGGGCTAGAAGTAACAGCAGTAGTCCACCCTAATGTCCTCAGACCTTAAGACTCAATATTAAACAACTGAATTCCATGGCTCTCTAGCTTGCAAATCACATATGGTTGGACTCTTTGGCCACTATAATCACATGAACCAATTTCCCTAATTAGTTTCTCCTCTCCTCCGTCCCCATCATGTTTCTCTTGAAAGCCTAAAATAATATAAAAAAATAAATGAATGAATGATTGACTCAGTCAATGAGTGAAAATATTCGTGTAGGTACAAACTAAATTTGCACAGAGCAAAGACAAAAAAGATAATTTTGACTTTCAAATATTTCATCCACAGAAGTACGTTTGTCACCATAGAAATGGCTCAGCTTCCTCCAATAACCAATCCATTATCCACTTTATCTTGTTTGACAAGTTCTTTTAAATGTCAGAAAGGAAAATTATGTGCAAAGCATTTTCCCAGACAAATGATGAAGTTATAGTACATTAAATTTTATGATTATGCTAGTGGTTAACATGTTTCTAATATTTGGTGACTTTTTTGAAAATATAGAAGATTAGATATTTTGGAAGATATTCTGAAAACAATTTCTGTAAAATTTTAGATACAGTATTATAGTTTCCTTTCAAAAATACTGAAAATGTGTAATATTCCTCCTTCCTTGTAGAATATTCCTACTTACATGAACTGGTATGGCTATTTATATTTTTTGTATAAAAAACTTGCTATGACTCTGTTTGAAAGTTGTAGTTAATACTTATGTTTTTAAAAGTTATTTCCTGCCAGACTCAATGACATGCACCTATAATTTCAGTTACTGAGGTGGCTAAGACAAGAGGATCATAAGTCTGAGGCCAACCAAAGCAACTTAATGACTAATAATAAAAGCAACTGACTAATAATAAAAATAAATAGGAATGGGATATAACTTCATGAAAATTATTGACTTAAAAACTCAGTCTGAGGCAGATATCCTTGTAATCCTAGTACGCTCTAAGGACTAGGCAGGAGGATGGCAAATTCATGTCCAGTTTGGACAAGTTAATGATCTGGTGTGAAGGCTTTAGGTTCAATCCTCAGTACCACAAAGGTAAAAAATAATCCATATTGCTGTTAACAGAAGGGCTTTAATCCTCCTTTGGCTCGTCAGTAATACGTCTATGAAATTCCCATTGCCTTTGTTGACTCTTCTACAATAAGAATCCTCCCACCATCCTTTATGTGATCTTTCTGGATTTCAATACAATATGAAAGAGAGATAATCCTTGCCTACAGAGCCTACAGAGCTTAGAAAATAATAGTGACAACATTATCACTATAGATTACACATGACAGTGAAATGTGTAATTTTTTTCAAACCCAGTTCCACATAACAAATATGAAAGGTTTATATAGATTGTTAAGTTTTTCCAAGAAGAAACATTCTTCACTTTTCCCCACCCATTTCATCCCTTTATCTAAAACGCATGCTCTATGAGATTGCTACCAAAAGAACTAGGAGGAGACATCTGTTATGGCTTGTGTTTGGATGGCCACCCAAGCCTAATGCAGTCATGGAAGCGGCTGAATCTAGTGTTTGTGATTGGCTTGTTGTCTAGTGCTTGGAGTGGCCATGTGAGTTCTGCACCTGCCCAGGGGCGAGTAGCCCCACACAATATAAGGGAGGAAAAGAGGCCTGGTTTTCCCTTTTTGGCCTTTTCAGTCTTGTTGCCTGTGGCCTTCATGAACAGCTGCCTCTTGGCCACAGAACCCTGCCTTGGAGCCAGCTGAATATGGACTGAAACCTCCAAAAACTGTAAGCTAAATAATATTTTCCTTCCTTCATTTTGGGCATCAGGTATTTTGTTTCAACAACAAAAAGAAAAGTAACCAGGACAATGTCATGCAAATTTTCCACTAAAGCTCAATTCCAAATGGTTCATACATAAGAGATTCTTATGGAGATGTCAGAGGCTCTCGAAGTACACTGTGTTGTCAGCACTTGAATTCACTGCTGTGCTTTGAACATGGTTCCCAGCGAAGACTCACAATCAGGTCAGGGAGTTGGTGCAATCCTGAAGAGATAACCAGGTCATAAGGCTTCAGCTGCTTTAGATTAATGCTGTGTTTGTTCTAGCTCTATGGGACTGAGTTAGTACTCCCACAAGCTGGTTGTTATAAGCAAGTCTGATACTTATTCTGAATTTCTCTTCTCACATGCCCTCTTGTTACTCTTGCTGTCCATGTTGTGATGCAGCCAGAAGCCCCGTGAAAGGTGCCAGCACCCTAATTCTTCAGCACATCAGCTACCAGGAGTATTAGCCAAATAAACTTCTTTTATGTCTTACCCAAAGTCAGGGACTGTGCTTAGTTTTAGTAACATAAAGTGAGTGAAATAACAGCCATCATCTAGGCAAGGGTCTTCCAGATTCTTAACGTTAGCATTAATAAAAAAAAGAAAAAAAAAACACTAGTGAAACCCTACACAGCAAATATGAAAAAGTAAGGCAAGATTTTTCTCCTTACACACAGCCAAATAAATAATAAAGTACCCTATTTAATCAGTTAAGTTAAAATTTTAGCTCAGTTATTGTGCTTAAGGTAATAAAATTATCTTTGATTATAGTTTCATCTGTGTCTAACTAATTGTGATACATAATTTTTCAATTGTTATATTTTAAAATTCTTGCCCTGAGTGACTTAGGGGCATTTTATGTTACCAGGAAAACTTAATTTTTGTTTTTATACTTGTTAAGATGTTTGTTCACTGCATTTGCACCTGTACAATTCCTAAGTTTGCAGATTTCTTGAAATTTTTGTGGCCTCTAATATGAGAAGAAGGTATAAATATTTCGTGATGTAGAAACTCTTTCAAGAATTAGTTTTCTTATTGCTTCCTAATCACATTAACAATGATTATTTTTTATCTCTACTTTTCCCCTGAATTTTCACTATATACCAACATTTGTTTCATGCAATTTTGTTTTGTTTTTTGACACACCGTCTTGCTATGGAGTTTAGGCTGACCTTGAACCCATTATGTACCCCAGCCTGGCACTGAATTCACAGGATCCTCCTTCCTCAGCCTCCCAAGTGCTGGGATTACAGGTGTGCAACACCAGCCCTGCCCGTGTTCCTCTATTCTTAAATTATTTGCTATAGTTTATTTCTTTTAGACAAGTAGTTTTCAGGCAGTTTTCTTTCCTCAAAACTGGCATACATCAAAAAAATCATTACCAAACTCAAGGTGACCTGGATTTTCTCCTATGATATCTTTTAGGAGTTTTAGGTTGGTATTTTACATTTGGCCCTGTACTGCATTTTGAGATAATTTGAGACAAGTGTAAGATCTGTGTCTAAATTTTTTTCTTGTTTCTTTTTTGCATATGGATGTCAGTCTTTCTTATATTTATCCAATATCCAGTAATTTTATATTTATCCAATAATTTGCATCAGTTATATTGTCTCTGTGTTCTAGAAGAATTTGTACTTCCTAAAGGACAGATTCGATTTTCTGCAATCTTCAGCTTCCTGAGCCCTGTTTCTACTAACATTTTATTGCTTATACCTAGTTCACTGCTCGCTTTTTACCTGATTCTTTATTTCAGACGAGGCTTTTGTTGCTTGTGGGGCTTTCTTCAGTTTTGTTCTGTTTTCTTTCTTTCTAATTTATTTTGAGATAAGGTCTTACTGTTGTTGAGATTGTCTGGGAATTGCAGCTCCTCGTGCCTCAGCTTCCCAGAAAGCTGGAATTGCAAGTGTATACCACCACTCCTGACTTCTTGGGTTATATTTTAATGAATAAACCTCTCCAATTTTTTTAAGAATATGAAACGAAGACTTATGAACCAGATACTAAGAATAAATTGTGTGAGTCATATATTCTGTTGAATTTACTAATACCTGTTATCCCACCACAGTTAATAGCTAACTATAGAATATTTAACATTCAAACATGTTTTAATTTGGACAGTGATTTAAACGGCAATTCTACACAAAGCTTAATTATTTTTCTGCAAGTTTCAAGTGTTAACCTAGGAGGTACCACCCACTGGAACTCAGGTGAGAAAGATGGAAATGTAGCCCAGCCTGAGAGATTTTATGGCCAAAATAATGGTTACCTTTTATTTTTTACTCTGTGTCCTACACACACAGCACACCGAACTACACAGAAGATGGTATTTAATACAACTGTCCAACTAAGAATTATCATCATCCTTATGTTGCTAATGATGAAACTGAAGTCCTAAATGTAGGCACAGGGACAGGGAAACATTCTGTGATTTTCTTTGGGTACTTAGAGATAGAAGACAGTCATTTCTTTATTTGGTTTCTAATTTGTTTTATTGGGGTTAGAGAGGAAAACCTTTAACTTGTCTGTTTCTGACAAAGGTGCCAGTTTTTTTTCAACTCATATAATACCCTGTATGGAGCACTCTAACTGTGAAATACCAACGCTGAGTGGGAATAATAAATAGGGGCAGATTTCTCCTTTCAAGAAGCTAAGGATAATTTCTTCCACGGACTGAGTAGCAGGCTAAAAATCTCTCGGCGTCTCTGCAGAACCTGCAAAGCTTCCCTGAGGCTGTAGTCCTGCCTTTGATGACTGCCCGCATGGCCTTTGCCAGGCCTGTGATATAGTACAGGAAACCTACAGAGATCAAAACCTTAACCAGTGTAGACAGAGTCACCAATCTGGACACACTGATGTCTGGACTTACTAAACATGCAATAAATAAGCTGGCCACAGTGACTTTTTGTATAGACGTCATGCCAATGCCTCATGCAATCATAGGTGGCTAGATCTAGAATGTGTAATGCTGAGATTGATTCAAGGTTCAGTGCTAGGCTCAAGGGCACTCTGATTAAGGGTCTGAGTGGTACTTACTCTAAGTAGCTGGATAAAATATAAGGGATAGAAAGAGGTGTGGCTGTCCCTTGCTTGTTGCTTTTGCTGTCATCTGTCACCATGAACTGCTTCCCCTCTGAGACCTCTGTTTATACTCCACCCAGTCTTACAGCCAACCAGTGATGGACTCAAACCTCTACAAAGTATGAGCTAAATGAACCTTTCTCCCTTTAGCCATGGGTGTCAGCTATTTTGTTAGTTGAGAACAGCAACTAACACAATAACCAATCCAAATAAATGGACCTAACCAGGGGTTGGTCAGACCTCAGCATAGTTTAGATCAATAATGAGCCAAACTGACAAACTCAAGAAAGTAATCCCTTGAATGCCTTTAGTCTGCCAGACATACTTGACACCTGACACACAACTACTTTACATAATCACAACAATGCTGATACAACATCCCAGATCATTAGTCATCCATTTCATGCTGACAATCTAAGATGCATAAGAAGGTCCTGCTCACTGGGACTAGGGTGGGAAGACAGAGAAGGAGGCCTATCTGACATGACCTGCAATACCAGCATACAGCTTTGATCTTTGTCTAGTCTTATAAGCCTTTGCTACTCAAAGTTTGTTCCATGGACAATCACCTTAGTATCACCAAAATGTTGCTTCATAAGTTAAGGAGTGCAGCCCTTCCCTGCATTTACTGAATCAGACCTGCATTAAAAACTTTCCCACCATAATTTATATACATTTTGAAGAGTAAGAAGCACTGACAAAAACTCTTAACTCACTTGTAAAAGTTTATAGTGGGTGTAGTTTGTACAGGATCACTGTAGTTAAAGAAGAAGCAAGCATCTATTGTTAATGTGAAAACAATCCCATTGCTGTATAAAAAGGTAAAACAAATATGCAATGATAATTTATAGGTAATTTATAGTATTGCTTAGAAGGTTTTATTTTCTCAATCTTTAAAAAAGTCTTAGGATATCTGCACACTTCTTTGAAATGAATCCAAAGCCAAAATGAATTTATGAAAATCATGTCTACTTCTGAATTGTAAAGATACATGTTTGGCAGAATCTGCCTATCTCCCTTGAAGTATGATGTAATTACAATCAAGTACAAACTCCTCTCTCACTGGACTTGTTAACTGTAAGCAGGCTTTTTCTTTTGTCTACCAGGCAGTTAGCCTGCATGGATACTCTATCCCCCAGGGTCATTCATTTTCTAGTTGGACCATCCTGACCTGGTGTGCTTATCTAATCTGTGCAAAGGGACACACCGATGCTTGCAAAGGCCTGTGTAGAATTTATAAGAAACAGGCCATGATGCCAAGGAGAATAAAGAGAGAAAGCAGATTTGTAAGATGTGGACAATATTTCTTGCACAAATTTCTGAGGATACATAAAGGCCCTAGAAAAGAAACAATTATGGGGCATGTCCAGGCCCCTTAGGGACCTCATAAAATGATCATCCAGCTGTGACTTTCAAGGACAAGAAGGGGAACATGGAGGAAGGCTGAGCAGAGAAAACTACTTGGGGGGATACAAATGCAACCCAATGCATTTGCATATATGCATTCAATATATATTCCTCCCTAATCTTTCCTCCAGACATAGGAACACCTGCTATGTGAGCTCACCAGAATTTAGTGCTGGTGGTTGGAAACACAGAAAGAGCAATGGAATTCAAACAGACGTAAGATGAAATTTCCTCTAACATGATAGAGAAAAAGCTAGAGATGAACATTGTCAGAAGGCTGGGGGAGAGGAGGAGACTGTGTTTGCTTCCTGGAATTTCTGGCTGGAGAATCATGCCTATTGACTCTTTTTTTGCCCTACTTGTGTCCAAGTTTATTTTGAGATAGAAGTTTCTAATATCACTAAACACTATGCTATGTATTGGTGGGGGGGTGTTGTTCAACTCAGGGCTTCACAAATGCTAACCAGGTACTCCCCTGTGGATCCACAGCCCCGTCCTACCGTGCTTTAAGTGCTCCTAAGTCTTAATTTTTTTTTTTTTAACATTGGGAACATTGCAGTGCATTAGAAAAAGACTTTGTTGTTGTCATTCATTTTTAATGACATAGTTCTTACAATCAAACTTTCAGAAATTCTCAAGCAAATTCAAACTTTCCTTCTACTAAATAATGCAAATATCTGGAATTTTACATCATGAACAGGTAAAACTTGCCACTAAGACAAATATTTCATAATCTCTCATAATCGTTAAGATAATCAATATAACTTCTGGTTATTCTGTCAGTGTTTAAAACACATGAAGTTATCTAAGCTCCATGGGTTTTTTCCCCCATTTTTAAGGGACAAATTACTTTTGGGTCTAAATACAAGGTGGTATGTTGTTGAAGTAAGGAAAAGTATTTTTGAAAAATAGAAGATTTTAACCTTTTTAAAATCAGCAGCTTGCTAGTAAATACAGGCTTGGTAAATAAGTCTTTGGCTATCTTCTTTATGAAGCAATGCGTGGAATAGATGGATGAAAAATTATTTTTAAGGACAGTAATTTTCCTATGTGGCTTTCCAAGTTCCTTTTAGCACTCCAGTATTTGTATCAAGTATGTTCTGGTTATTATTTGAAGGAGATGGTTACAAACATGTACTATAAAGTCAGTTTCTTAATTGGGAGACATTCTTTTTTTAATATGGATTTTTTCTGATGTTTTTCTGTGGGTACACATTTCTACGTTTACACTAAAAAAGTATCTTTCTTGTTTACAAATTTTAAAAAAGCAAATGCGTATTATTTAACTTTCTCTTCCACAACAGTGCACATCTACTGTGCTCACAGATTCAGGCATATACACTGAAATCCAAATTATGTAGGTCAATCAAGAGCTGGAGTCATCAGCTAACTTTATGGAACAAACATTTCATTTCTTGTTTATTTTCTTCGTCTCCTTGCCTCGACCATCCTACTAGTCTTGACATTCCTTGTCTTTTCTGCTCGGCCACACCCTTTACCTTAGAATCAGAGTGTGGGGTGACCTCTTCCAGAAAACTTTATTCAGGTAGTAAGCACAGAGCCCCTCTGTTGTCCAAGCTGCTTTCTGCTGTTTTGGTCACCTGCCGTCCACAAGGGTCTGCATATACTATGGAAAATTTCAGAAATATACAATTTGAGTGTGAAATTACTAATGTTTTAGTAGTGGGATGAAATCTCACAGCTTCCCGCTTCATCCTGCCTGGGGTGTGAATCATCCCTTTGCCAGTGTATCCACACTTTATATGCTACCTGCCTGTTCATCAGTTAGTAACTGTATTAATTGCCATGATATTGTGCTTGTGTTCAAGTAACTCTTATTTTATCTAATAATGGCCCTGAAATGTAAGGGTAGTGAAGCAAATGAGGTATCAGAGTATAAAATACGAAAAGACAGATTAACCTAGTACTATGTGGCATCTAGGAAAAGACGTGGGGTTGGTACTACCCATTGTTCTAGGCGTGGGTGGGGGGAGTGGTCTTAGAATCTAACCATTGAGGGTAAAGAAGACCACTATATATCATCACCTTCACAGAACTGAATTATAACTTATTTCGGGCCATCTATATCATTATTAGATATTTAATCTCAAATTGTGCACTTCTATGGAATCCGTACCAGGCCTATTATTATGTCATATTGGATTATATGATCCTTATGGGTAGAGAAGCAGCTTGGACTCTAGAACCTCATCTAGTGCTACACACCCCTCCTGTAGAGCTGACCACTTCCCAATATGCATTTCTCCTTTTCTTGGTAATAGAAAAATGGGAAGTAACAAACTAAATTCCATTTCTTGGATTCTTTTGCAAATAAAAATTATGGGAGGACTTGTTGGCCCTTTTCCTCCTCTTTTTGATGAACCTGGGACTATGACGGGCAAATCATATGACCTTGAGGAAGCAGGCCCTTGTAGCAAGGATAGTTGAGCAGATATGGGGGTCTGAGTCCTTGTGACTAGATAAAAGACTAGAGCTAGAATGTCTATTGCTGTGTATCAGTTAAGGATCCATCAGAGAAGCAGAATAAATTACAAAATATGTGTGTGTGTGTGTCTGTTCTGTTAGACGGACTTGGTCAGAAGCACTTGTGGAATCTAATTAATCAGTATCTACAGTGCTATGATTTTTGTTTCTGTTTCTGGAGGGTCAGACAGTCAAGAGATGGATATAAGTTGGGTGAAAGGAACGAACTGGAACACACAATCTGGAGTCCGTTAAGACACTGAAATTTGTGTGAAGTCTTGATTCTGCTCTTAGTAAAGTGAATATCCTGCTAAGGCTGAGGACCTTCATCACGAATCTTATCACACATACCTGTTCCAGAAGTCCAGGAAGCTAAAGAAGGGTCCTTAAAAAAAAGGGGGAACAGCTATTTTGGAGAAAACAAGACATCATAATAGCTAGTGCTGATTCAATAACATCTTGTTTTGAAGTCCCATCAAGCTTTTGTTCTTCTGTCTCCGTCGGTCTTAATATGTTGTATCTTATTGGATTTTATTATATGTAATAATATAAACAAAAATTTTTTATAGACAAGGAGATTATACAGAAACCAATGTTCATTTTCTGTTAGTTGGTTCTAAATACCCTGTAATACTGTCATTCTCTTGAATGGCTTTACACTGTCTTGATATGTTTGATGCTACACTATACTAAGTTATACTCAAAGACTTCAAGGAAAGAGACACTATGTTAACTACTTTTATGTCGGGATATCAGGAGATGAAACACTATTTTGCTTAAATGGTTATGTTTTGACCTGTGCTGTTTTGTTATGTCCTCTTTTATCTCAATCTCTTCTTTTTATTATTTACTTTTTTATTTTTATCTTTTTAATTAAGGGAAAAATAAAAATAGCAGGATATATTATAGTAACACACTTTGATTTCCTATTAACTTGATTTGAAACCCTGTATTACTCTCACCATCTTGTTTTGACTGGTTTTCTTCTATTCTTCTGTTTTGCTTGATACTACCAAGTTTGAGAATATAGGCCACAACTGTGAAGACAGTAAGATTCATTATGACCATTCTGGTTTGACTATTATCTTCTTTTGAAGTCCTGTAATGTCTCCAATGTTTTGGTTTTATTGGTTTTGTTCTTTACTGTTTTGTTCAATTATAGTATAACTGATGATATAGGCAATTCTCTTTAAGATAGCAAGAGGCATTATGGTAACCAATGTTGATCACCTTGTATTTTGTTTTTACAGTATGTATTATGTCCATCCTTTTGATTTGACTGACTCTGTTCTGTTATGTCACATTTGGTTTTATTCTCTTCAAAAAAAGTAATAAGAACTGTGGGAGTAATAAAACCCAAAATGTGTAATTGTACGAAAGAGTGGAAAAGAAAGTGCTCTAAAGGATATAACTGCATGTATATTTAAGTGTATAAGATAGATAACCATATTACTGAGTTTTGTTGGATCACTGAACAGAACTGTTTGCAATCTCACTGTCTGAATGTCCACTTTATATGCTTTAATTTTGTAACTTGAACAACTATTTCTAAGATGACAATACATAATCTATTAACTAGTGATTTCCTACTGTTTATTTTTTCTGAAATTCTGTATAACTTGTACCCTTTTTCTGTTTTTTTTTTCTTTTTCTCCTTAAATAAAATTTTTTTAAAAATTAAAAAAAAAAAGGTGAAGCATTTCCAGGACTAGGTGCTGCCCACACCAATAGTGATCCAGTGTGTAAGTGGTAACTCGTGAAATACAGACTACTTGATGCTACACATCTACCATCCAAAGCTCCCACGGAATGTGTGATCCACAGTAACTGGAAACATACAAGAAAGGGAATACTAGCACACCTAGTTCAACATTACAAAGTGCCCACATTGCAGATTTCTTTAAAGTTCTCTCATTTAAATTATTTCATTTTGATGCTTCGGTTGTAGCAAATGTAATCGATACTCCAGTTTTAGGAAACAAATGTAATTATTAACAAAACCCTGAGCCCTCTAAGTAAATGTTAAGAGATTAATTAATTATATGATGAATATGCTCTGTGGATTCAAATAACACAGAAACTTTTCTTGTCTTATTGATAGGTAATGTAGAACTTTCTAAAAAGACTTTTTTTGCAAGATTTTAGGAAAAGTATACTTGTAAAAAAGTGTTTAAAAGGTTGAGGAACTGACAAAGTTATAGACTGTAAGAAGTGTATGTTTCATTCTAGTAAAAAGACCGGAAAGGGATAAAATACTTGCCAATTAGAACACGAAAGCCAAGGTAAGGGAAATACAAGCTTATAGATAAAATGAGAAATGCTAGTTCCAGCATAAATAGTATTAGTATCAAAATGCCAAGTCATTTTAAACATGTGGTTGCTTTGTGTTTGGCATAAACTCTTGCTGTTTAGGCATATATGTTTAAATATTCTTTGGTCTCATTTGTAGTAGTTCCTTGTAATTTCTGAATTATTTACATAATCAGGTGTCAGGTGGATCCTTTCAGAGACAGTAAAGATTGCACGTAGATTATTAGAAGGGGGTTAGATATTTGTGAACATTAAAAACTGTATGGAAAAAGGACTGTAGGAAAAAGTTTTCAGATGATAATGCTGATCTCCCTGGCATTCGTGGAGGAAGGAAGGGGCAGGAATCATTAAGAGCTTCGGATTGTGACGGAGAGCTAGAAAAATTTAATCCGTGAGGATTCCCCAGAGCAAGGACAAGAGTAGACAGAAATGGCTAGCCCTTAGATTTTGAGCCATGCTTATTCATTGGGTTGGACTTTTCCGGGTAGAAGACCTTGGCCTTAGCACAGAAGCTGAGATGGATTCAAAGATGCTCAAACCTTTGCATCTTTGCTGTGAGCTCACACTGCAGTCCACACAAGGGAGCCTCAGGTTCTGGGACTGTTAGGAGCACTGTTAATAGGAGAGAGCTCTTGCAACATGACTGACAAGTCCACTTACCAAAACCAAGATGAAAAAGAGAATACTCATTGGGCAATGGCTTGCTCAAGGTCATAAAGTAATTAGGAAGTATGATTGAAAGATTAATTGATGGAGGGATGGGGAGATATTTATTGACAGGCAAGAGAAATAAATTTAAGGGCTATATTGTACAGAATGGAGACTATGGTTAGTAATAATGTTGACTCTGTTAATAACAATGTGTTATATACTTGAAAACAGCTAAGAAAATAGAGTTTAAATAACTCACTGCATGATAACGCACCTATGAATGTTTGATTTAGCCATTCCATAATGTATACATATTTCAAAGCATTATATCATGTAAGTTTGTACCATATTATCAGATTAAAACTAATTAGAAAGAAGGAACTTGACTTATTCAAAAACACACCACTCTTTCTAGAGTTCACACAGACTGCAAACCAGGTGAGCTCACATGACATCCTAATCTTAGGCTCAGTGACTGCTTTAGAGGCAGCGAACACCGTCCAGGGGAAATGTGCTCCCCCATTTCCCAGGGATGCTCAGCGCCTTGCCCTCTACCACTCCCACTCTACGTTATTTCCCTCCATCCTTCACCCCGAGATGCAGCGCTTCAGGCTCCCTGTCTTCCCAAACATCCTTGCTTCCCATCTGTTTTCTGTATCCTTAGTCAAGGTGTGATAACTTAGGCCTAACAGCTAAGCTAATGGAGGTTGATTGATGAGAGCTAAATGATCACCTGATTTGTATCTATAGAATTTAACCCAAATAGATGGCTGGCCAATGGAAGAGTTTTAACCAACGTGCACAGACCAATGTTAGTGAAAGTTTGGGCAGTAGGATATACAATGTCTGCCATATATATATATGCACTTCACAAAAAGTAGCAGAATTTTTTTCAGTAGATGGTGTTACCCTTATATGAGAGGCTTCGTAGGATGTCATATATCACACACACACACACACACACACACACACACATGAAAAAAAAAAACCAACTCACTGCACTATTGCCCTTTAAAGACACTGCAGCATTCTCAGTGACCAAGGTGACCCAAGGAGCAGTTCACCATAACTAAAAAATGTCTGGAAGGTAATGGCTACCACTTTGAGCATGTCTTGTAATTGGAGAGGCCATAGGTACCTTGTATAAGTCTACTGTGTCTCAATAAATTTAGTATTAAAATACTTATACAAATTCTTCTTTTCCTGATGCGTGTATACATTTTTTTGGCAAAGTCTGTATATTAACCCCTTATGCTGGTAAGGCAACAACTTCACATATGAGACAGCAAATGTGAAGTTGTAAATTTTGCTCTGAATAGGCACTCATTCCTAAATAAAGGCCTCAGAAAATAGGCAACTCAGATTTATCAGTCTAGTTGGAAAATTTAATATTCCAGAGGGCTCTGTCTTTCTGACTTTCAGGTTTTCTAGGTTGGACAGAGAAACAGCAACACAAGGAAAATAATAATTTAAGTTCCTGCTAACCACAAATAATGGCACCATGAGTTTAAAGTACCCTGAGTTTAGTTATTTGATAACTTATATTGTATAATTCCATTTTACAGATCAGATGCAGACAAGTTAAGAAACCTAAAATCAACCAACTAGAAAACAGTATCAAGCTTGATTCAGGGCAGGTTTATTTAGCTCTCTAAGGTTTTATTCTGTCCTTTTAACCCCACAATTCACCATTACATGTCAAGGCTTAAAACTTCTAACTCTGTATCTATTGTGGTGCCAAATGAAACACTACTTACGTGATGAGAGATAGTTGTCAAAATTACAAAGAAATCAAGACTTGCGGAGAATTGATAATTGCTGAAGCAATCAGGCCTACTCTGTGCAGGAGAAGTGATTATAAATTCTCTCATTTGTATATATTTAAAAGCTACAAATAGTTTGGAACCTATCCACCTCAACTCTTCTGAACACACACACACACACACACAGTTTAAAACACCTCTGAGCATAAGCATTTCAGATACACTATGAATAACAAGTGACGGTGCAAAACAGAAACCTAAAAACTCAGTGTTTCTGACACATGTCAGCATGAGCGAATATTCCCTTTCCAAGTGTGAATCAAAGCATTCAGCTCCATTCAGTTCTATGGTCCTTTTCATTTGCTCAAGCTCAGCCAAACCAAACCAGGGATCACCAGCGGAGAGAACTGCAAATGTTTGCAAATGGTGAACAAATTAGGAGAAAGTCCTAGATTTAGGGAGACATGAATTATTGTGTGTGGATATAAATAAACATTGTTCTCAGCTCGGGTTCTGTCCACACCTCCACGCTTTACACAAAGTCACCCAAAGATGAAGGAGTTAGTGTTACTCACCCCTGATGCGCTCCAAAGCCACCTAAAGTGGTACACGCTGTACTTCACTAACTTTATTTGCAAAACTCAGCCTTTGGAATACAAAGCTACCACGAAGTAGGCAGCCAGCTCTGAAATTGTGTGTGTGTGTTTAGGCAGTCAGACGGCAAAACAGTCATTCTCTTCTGTTGATCCAATGCTTCAAATTTTGGCAAGGGGATATTTCAAGAGTTCCATATTTATTTCTCTCCACTTTGCAGTTTTAAATCAAGAGATGCCTAATGTATAATGTCTGAAAAAATACAATCTGAAAAGAAGATTTCATTTTGAATATATGCTTCTAGAAATTCTAAATGCATCTAGAGATTCTTCAGGCCTAAAATAGAATCACACTGTAGATTGTTTGTTTTGCTCATTGAAATACAGCCTATAAATACAGCCTTCTGAATCCCTATAAACAACCTTCACAATATTTACAATGTTTGCACATGTGGTTATAAAACAACTTATTCAGCAAAGATATTATTGGACATTTACCAAGAATTACTAGTGGATATTTAGCTTTTTTCAAGTGTCTTCTCCTAAGCTAAGCTTGTATGAATATTTTCATAGATAATTATTTCTACAAATGTATGATTTTTGGGGTACATTTTAAATAGTACAATGCACAGACAGAAAGTTTTGGAGCATTTAAATACAAACTGTCTCCCAAAGTATATGATTTTATACTTGTCCTGTACCCCAACAATCCTGAGTGATTATCCTTCATTTTTTAAGTTTTTACTTATTTTAATTTTTACTTTATTTCTTTATTTGATTTCTTTTAACTATATGGAGGACTGAACCCAGGGCCTTTGCACTGAGCTATATTCCTAGCCCATTTTTCATTTTGAGCCAAGTTTTCACTGAGTCACTAAATTATCCAGCCTGGGTTCTTATTTGTAGTCTTCTACCTCAGTTTCTCAGAGGTATGTGACACAAAGTGGGCTGTGATTTCTTTTGTATCTTTGCCAATTTCAAAGCAGGAGATTCTAGTATGTCACTGGAGTTAGTACTTCTTATATTATAAATACTAAGGATTAAATTTTTTCTGTTAATCATATTTCTGTCAGTATAACAAATACCTGAAATATTCAACTTATAAACAGAAGTTTAATTTCGGTTCATGGTTCAGAAAGTTCAGTCTATGGAAGATTGGTCCATTGCTTTTGGCCTGTAAGCCATGGTGGGAGCATATAGTGGAGCAAAAAGGCTTACTTCATGGCTGACAGAAAGTGACAAGGAGCAAGCAGTGTAAGGGGCTGGTCCCCTTCAAGGAGGAGCACAATCCCAGTGATCTAAAGGCTCCCATCAGTCCTCCCCTCTTAAAGTATACCACCTCCCAATAACACCAAGGTAGAAACCAAGCTTTTGATGCACGGGCTATAATGAATAGCCCAGATATCCACTACACAATACTGAAGTTTTTACTGTATGTATTGAAACAATATTAAACTACCTTTTTGATCATGTTGTACATTTATTATTTATCTCTAATACTATTTTCATTTTTACAGAGGTTACTCTTTCTTTTATATAAGATGCAATTTCATTCCCAGTTTTTGATTATCTTTTAACTGGACTATTTAAGATATAGAAAAGTTTTACATTTCTAGATTAAAAAGTAAATGCCTGTTTATCTTCATGAATTCTTTTACATAAAACATACTATTGTTCCTAAATCTATATTTTTAATCCATGAACTACATAAACTTAAAAACCATCTGAAATAAATTTTGGATTACGGCACGAAGTACAGACATAACATTTTTCTTCCTAAGGGGTGATATAGTAGTCCCTCTATCATTTTTCATGTGAGCACTATTTCATAATGATTTCATGGGCTGCTATTATCATATGTTAAATACTTACACAAGCATTCACAAGGGATTGGTTCTGGGATACCCCATAGATACCAGGGTCTGAGGGTCCTCATGTTCCTTACACAACATGGTGTAATATTTATATATTACACATCCTTCAGTATGCTTCAGATCGTCTCTAGAGGACTTATAACATAAATATATTGTCACTAAGTATGTGCTATACTGGTTAGGAAAGAAGGACCCAAAAATACCTTTCTATGTGCTGACACAGCCATTTTTTCAACATGTTTTCAATCTGTGGTTGAATTTGCAGATACAGAAGGATGACTGTATATTCTTTGGTTCTTATATTTTTTATTCTATTCCAATGATCTTTTGATCTATTCTTGGGCAAGTATTAAATACTTTAAAAAGTGAAGTTATTTTGGCTATCGAAGCTTTTGTGGTACATATTAATACATTAGTGAAGAGTCTTGCTTGATTCTCCTTCATATTACAATTTTTCTTTGCTATTCTAGCTCATTTGTGCTTTCCAAAAAACTTTAGAATAATTTTATTGGCACTGTACCTGGAATTACGTGAACAGTTACAGATTATGTGAAGGAGAATTATCATAGTTGCTGTATTACCCCTACTAATACAGAAATATGGGATGTCTTTTACTTTACCTAAATATTTTTTGTCCCTACAGCAGGGTAGCACTGTTTGCCTATTCCTCAGATACCCTTACATCGCAGTAACAATGGAACAGAGGGTTTATTTTTGTCCAGTGTCCTTAGAGTAGAAATGATTTTCATCACTTCTGGTCGGTGGACAAGAGTACATATGAATCCCTCACATTCTGTAGGTCTTGAAGGTGGTGACCAAATAGACACTATTTTAAGAATGATTGAACCACAAGATGTAAGTTGCTTGGATCTTTCTATTACTACTGGGAGGATGGCAGTTTGGAGCTGTTCACCTTAAATAAAGCCCTAAGTGAGCTAAATATAGGATTTTTAAAAAATTGTGGTAAGACACTGAAATTTGGGAAAATATTTGTTAATACAGTGCAGCCCATTAGTAAAGGTTACTGGTATATATTTACATATCTCTTGGTACTATGACAGGGAAATCTCTCAATAATTCCAAGTTATTTATTAATGTTAAAGAGGGTGATTTGAAAGTAGAAATTACATACGTACCTATATTCTGTATCTTGTTATGTCTCCACATTTATTTTCTTATATTTATGGTAGAAATCCTACAACAAATAAAGATCTGATTCCTCAGATTGGGGCTCTTTTTTTAAGCATTAGATAATTTTTATCTGCCAATTGTCACCATGACAGAGAGATGAACCAGGATCTATGTTTATCACACTGGGGATGTTGGGATAAGTTTTACATTAGTTGGTTTTCCATTATAATAACCAACTTTTAAAAGTGGAACAATTTACTACAGCTCACAGTTCTAGAAGTTTCAGTCCATGTTAAATTGGTCCATTTCTTTTGGGAAAATTGGTATTTCATGCTGGGAGTGGGTGGCAGAGGCAGACTCATCTCATGGCAGTCAGGAAGCAAAAACAAATACATGAAGTGCATGGGGTGCTAATATCTGCCTCCAAAGTCATGCTTCTAATGGTTGAAAAACTTCCTATTAGCCCTATCTCTCAAGGCTCTAACACTCCCAGTAGTAAGAAATTGTGTTCTTACTCAAAGCCTTCTGACTCAGAATTAGGGGTAAGAAAATATAAATAACACAGGCTCTGTGGTAAGCAGACTAACGGTCTCTCAATGATGCCCATGTCCTAGTTTTAGAAGCCAATGGATGTGTTAAGTTATACAGGAAAAAGGTATTAAGGCTGCAGACAAAATTGTTTTCCAATCCACTGATCATAAATCTTGGGGATTGTCTCGTATTACCAAGGTAAGCCTGGTAATCAGAAGGGTCTTAAAAATGAGAGGGGAAGGCAGAAATCACCATCAGGATGGTGCAACATAAGAATGATCTGATCGATCGTTGCTGGCTTTGAAGACAGAAGGAAGCCACAATCCAAAAAATGTGTGTCGTTTCTAAAAAGTGAACATGATGAGGGCCTGGATTCTCCGTGAGTCTCCTGAAGAAGGGAAGCCTTGATGATACCTGGGTCTTAACCCAGTGAAACCCATTTAGGGATTCTGATCTCCAGTATTACAGGATAAATAAATCTGTCATATTTTAAATACCAATGCTGTGGTAATTTATTATAGTAGCAATAGAAAACCAATAAATTTTGAGCCAGATTTGGATTCAAATTCAAGTGTATCACTAATTATTTGAAATAAAACATCTTTTTAAGAAACTATACTGAACTTTGGATTCATTGTACCTAAAATGAGCATAATAATATCAATTTCAGAGTAGAGATTGGCAATGATATTGAGAATAACATCCATAAAAGTAGCACCTGATTATGTGGTGCACAAGTCCTTGTTCTGGTTACTTAGCTTTGTATCAGGCCTTCTGAATACAAAATACTTAGCTTTCCAATTTCCCATTACTTAACCAATGCTCAAAAAAACATTGATATGCATAACTATTACAGTCTCTACTATAAAGTGAGTTAGTTGAGGTACAAAAGGGTTAAACATATTGCCAATACTAGTTTTAAACTGGCCAATGGAGGAGCTTGGATTTAAATCTAGGTAGAGTTCCTTGGCCTTGTTTTCAAATGATAACGGAGTGATTAGATTCGAGATAAGACCTTTATGCTGTACCTAACTGCTTCACTTCCTGTTTGTAGTTCTAACTCACAAGACTCACAGGACTTCGGAGCAACATTTTAGGGTGGAACTCCCCAAATCCCATCACTTCCTTAGATTTATTCCAAGTTTGCAAAGTGCCCTGCTTTTCTCAGTTGAGAAACTCATTCTTAGTGTAAACTGGAATTGAGTATTTCCAATAGTTCCGTGCTGTCACCCCCCATTCTGTTTGTCCTGGCTCTCAGGCCCTCCTGCACTAAGGTTGGAAAAGGACATTATTATGTGAATTTTGCTTAACGAATTTTTCTCTACAAATAAGTCTGACCTTTTGTATGTTACACATCAATATCGAGAGGCCCTTTTCTTCAGGTGATCTCACGTACACTCTCCTTTGCAGAAATACACTATCCCAACCTCAAATGCAGAAATACTCTTTTAGGAGGGAGTGTTAATAAAACGTTTAAATTCGAATCATCATCTTAAACATTGAGTCCTTTCATAGACACTTTCGTGAGTATTTAGAATACATTAAGTGGAAACCCAGATGTCCACTGAGGGAATCAGGTACCTTCTTTCATATTTCCATCGTCCTCTGAATGGGGAAGAGAGTAGTACTGCAAAGATTTATTTTCCCACTGAAATTTTTCTTAGAAAATGGAAATAATTATAGTCAGCTTCAAATAATATTTTTCCATCAGTTGCATAAATCATGGACTGTTAGCCAGAGCTTAGTTTTAGTTGATGTCCTTTGCATTCTGGTCAGTCCCTGGTTTCTGAGCACTCATTTGTGGTTGTGATCTTATCTACTGAAAAAGTTCTTTGTTACTTTGGGACAAATTGAAGTTATAAAAAGAATATTTTTGTCAGGACGGTAAATTATCCCATTTAAGCAGCTATCATATTATACCCTTTTAATAGTTTTTGGCATTAAAATGGTCTTTTACAATATGATCATAACATTAGAGGGTAGTTTGATTTAGCTTAAATGCCCTTGTAATGTTAAAAGTTGACATTTCCCAATTGGCTTCAAAATTAGTTTTGAAATTTTTTTCTGGTCTACATAATCCCAAACCCTATGAGGCACTGGAATGTATTTTCAAATAGTTCTTCAATTAGTGGAATATTTTCTGAGTTCTTGCAGTTCTGAGAATGCCCGTCTGTCTTGCTGAAAGAAAAAATTACTGCTTATAGTGATCTTACTGCATAACTTTCTCTTCCTCAAAACCCTGGAGAGGCATTTGGCACTTAACTGTTGAAGAAGAAATGTCTGAGATCAACCTGAAGTTTTGTTCTAAATTTTTATGGAACGGTTGAATTTTTTCTCAGATATTACACTTTCCTTTTTCTGAAAACATCAAGACGTATCACCTCTAAGCACATGCCACTGAGATAAAATATGTGTGGCAGATGGCCACGGAGTCAGATTCTAACATCTCCAAAGTTCACATGTAGTTTCTACACTTCACTAGTCACTGAACCTGTGGACAGCTACAGGTTGAATCATATCTCGCCAAAAGATGTTTAAATTCTAACACTCAGTATCTATAAATATGATCTTGGTTGAAACCAGGGTCTTTGCAGATGGTGAATTTGTTAGAATGGTCTAACCTGATAGGAATGGTGTCCTTATGAGAGGTTATATGTGGACACACAGAAAGAGTGCAGAATTCCAGATGAAGACAGAGGGAAGGTGGCCATACATAGGAGACAGTTTGGAGATTGGCTACCTCATGCCAAAGAGTGGCTGGGGACCTCCAAGAAGACAGAAGAGGAAAGAAAGGACCCCCCTGAAAGACTGTTAAGGGACTACGGTCCCTTGACATTTCTGGCCTCAATTACGTGGAGACAAAATAGAAATAATTCTTTGTCACCAGTTTCCAATCCTCTTATAGTAGTCCTAAAAGTCTAGAACATTTTAAAACACCTTTATTATCCATAAGATACAGATAATAGTGTATTTTCAAATAGTTCTTCAATTAGTGGAATATTTTCCACTAATAAAGTTGTAGTATTGCAAAAAAAAAAGTGATTACATAGAATTTGATCTTTTTTTTTTTTTTGTGGTTCTACCAGGGATCAAACTCACAACCTCATGCTTGCCATGCAGGCTTCTGCACTTGTGAGCTATATCTCTGGCCCAAAGATTTTTTGATTCCATGGAATGGGTTTTGTTTGGAAGTGTCCAGGTATGGACTCTCATCAAGTACTCAAAATGCAATGTAAGTTAAGTGGTAGATCTAGTATTATTAATATTCCAGGGTGATATATATGGAAACAGGTCATGGGAAATTGAACCTAAGTTAGAAAAGGTAAAACTAAGTAATTTTTAAACAGTGAATTTCAATAATTTCACTGGTTTGATGAAATGGGAAATGCTAGATAAGAATGAAAACTTTTCAATAATGAAGGCTTCATAATACATAAATATGGAAGACGGTCCAATAGGATTAATAATACATACTTTGGAATCAATCCAGTTAGGCTTTTTAGATCCTACTTGTGGCATGGTCTCTTTAAGTGAATTTTGAAACTTTTAAGAGCCCAAGCTCTTCTAAAATAGAAACAGTATGTATCACGGTTCTTATAAAAAGTAAATGAGATATCATGATAAAGACATTATTATTAGCAAAGTAAATGCGAAATAAGTTTTTTGCAATCATGAATTCACAATTATTTTAAAATAGAGATTAATATCATCTCTGACTGCCGTGAAATGCACAAATTCAGGGAGAAGACACACAGATGAGAACAGGTACAACGGCACCTGGGTTCATGAACTTGTCTTTCTGTGATTCTGGCTGCAAACTGAATTGCATGAAAATCAAATCAAATTTCCCCCAAAAGACAACACTAAACATAACCACTGAACTTGATTTGGTTCTTATCCAATTTGGTTTGTGACCAGACTCAGCCAGCAAAAGAATTAAGTTCACAACTTACATTCATTTTTTAATTTTTTTTTGATAGTGGAAATTAAACTCAGGACCTTGCATTTGCCAGGGTGGTGCTTGTGCTGCTGAGCGATATCCCTGACCCAAGAATTAAGTTCATGAACTGAGGTATCACTGTACCCGACTCAGAATAGTAATTACTGTTCTGACTATAACTTACTAGATTTTTACTAACTTGCCTTTAGCAAGTGTCCTTGTATTTTGAAAATCTCTATTTTTATATTGAAAAGCAACTAATTATATTGAGTCACTTTCTAAGAGTTCCTAATAGCTGACAAAAAAATGTATCTCAGGGCTGGCTTTAATTTTTTTAATCAATAGTGCCTAATCTGACATGCTCTTATTATACTTGAAACATTTCACCAGGTTATTCACTAGCCTCTAAGATTCTGAGAGAGAACACAGAATGGGATGCCTTCCTGATGTGGAAAGCTGGACATTATATCATCAAAAGAGTTGACCACGCAGAAAATAGCAAATAACAAATGTGTACAAAATAGTGTTTACTTCTATACTGTTTTAAAAATGCAAATATAGCATAAATAGCCAATAATAATTAGGTATTATATTAAAAACTGGAGGGGGAAAATATATTCTTTTTGGATAGCTGACATGATTTCAAGGGTTGCTTCTCTGCATCATCTGTCTTTAGCAAACATTGATACCAGACTGCTCAGTTCCATTAGCCATTCCCTTAAATTGATCACCCAACATGCAAATGAACAGTGCACCAAACAGTAGCTTAACCATCACAATACACTGTAGCAGCAAGTTTGCAGATATTCCTGACTTGGCTTAGTGACTTTGCTTTCTTCGATGTGTGTGTGTGTGTGTGTGTGTGTGTGTGTGTGTGTGTCTTCATGCTTATGACTTCATAGGTGCAACATGGCTGCGTCAGTTCAGGAATTACATTCTCACGCCAGAGAATGCACTTCCCTTCACATGCCCAGTGCTTGTAAGGTTAAAAACTACTGCCAGAAACTTCACTAGCCGGTTTCTCGTTTACTCTCTCAAGACATACACAGGTAACAGCCATCCTCACTGTAGGGCACTCTGGGATAGTGTGTATCAGACAAGGAAGAATGAGATAGGTGGACTGACTTAAAGCAACCGTGGTTCATCTCCTGAAACTGGGCACTTTGCCTTCATTAACAGAATCCGTGTCTGTTTATTAAAAGGACACAAAGTCAAGGCAGTGAATAGAAGCTGCTAGTGTATTTTTTACTGCTCTTTCTTTTTCTGCATGCTGACCTGCACTTCTTACTTTTGGTCCCCTCAAAACTCCTGTCCAAACTGGGAGCTGGAGAATAAAGATGTAAAAGTGTGGCGGGCAGGGTACAGCTGAGGTGTAAAGTTTGATGTAGCTCTATCTTGATGTTATCAGTCATCTCAAAAAAATGATTAGGGGATATGACAAAATCACTTTTTCAACTTCACAGGAAGCTGATTATGAACTACTCTGTACACCTAAAGAATGACTATTCCAAGCACTTACACCTATTACCTGCCCTGGCTCCAACTAACCCTTCCATACTATGTTTAAACCTGGACGTGTATAAACAACACTGCTGTAGGCTGTTGGGGTTTGCTAATATGGGATGCACTTACCATCACCAGCAAAATTAGAATGATTAATATCCTTGCATCCTTAATTAATGCTCCTCTTCAGGGAAGAGCAGTATCTTCATCCTAAAGAACATTAGTAGATCTGGTGAATAAATTATGAGCAAGAAGCTAGTTTGATAAATAACAAGGATAAAGAAATTGGATGGTCTTTTAGGACAGTGTTTCTGTGAAGTAAAGAAATTTCCACTATCCACATTGAAGATTTTTTTTTTTTGTCCAACAAATTGGGACCAACCACCTAAACTCCGATACCCTCATTCCTGTAAAAAAGAATAAAAAGCAAATACAAAGTTTGTTGTTGTTGATTGATTAGAGACAAGATCTGGCTAAGTTTTCCTAGAAGGACTTGAATTTGCAAGACTCCTGACTCAGTCTCCCTCAGTGCTGGGGTTACAAGTGCGGATCATCCCACCTGGATTGAAGCCATTCTAAAGCGATGAGCAAGGCCTATTAATTCACAGTTTTAGTATTAATCTATATTCATATTAATGGTGTACTGGTTTAGATTAAATTGTACGGCGAAATGAAATAAATCCTAATAGTATAAATCTGTGTTAAGTTAGACATTTAACTTCACCTTTATTTCACCAGCCCAGGGCTGACAGGCAGTTCCAGAAGCAGCTGGTGCCCAGACTTCATGAAGCTTTTTGCAATACTGGACCTCCCTGTGGTCCAAGATGTTCCAATGCCACCTTGTCTGCATTACAGCCAGTACAGAAGGACATGCTCTTCCCTATTAAGGACCACTGAAAGTTAAATGTATCACTTTTTATTGCTTCCCATTGTCCAGAATTAGTCACAAAGTCAAATCACACTATAAGGGAGGCGAAGAGATATCTTGGTTCTGGACAATCATGTCTTATCTCCGTAAAGGAAGAACAGGTATTGGTTGACTATGAGCAGTCTGTTGAATAGAATTGTTACTTTCAATCTCCTGGAATAATAGTTCTTCCTGAATTTATCCTTAGGTTTTTGTTTGTTTGCTTTATAATTTAATAACAGATTTAAGGATAATTCAGATTCTCTACAATTTAAAGTGTATAATTCAGTTTCTTTTAGTTAGAGTTGTACAATCACTCCCATACTCAGTTTAGAGGTACTGTTATCTTCCTCTCACTAAAACTCCACCCCCACTGGTGATCAGTTTTTCTGTCTACTCCCTCTTTCAACCCTAGGCAATCACTGATATATTTTGTCTTTGTGGAGTTGACTATTCTGGACATTCCATATAAATGGAGTTACCCAATATATGGTCTTTTGTGGATGGCTTCTTTCACTTGGTATGTTTTTGTGGTTCACCTATTTTGTACCATGCTTAGTACCTTATTTTCATTTTATGGCTAAATAACAGGCTGCTGTATGGATATACCACATTTTAGGTACACGTCGATCAGCTGATGGACACTTGGGTTAAGTGTACTTTTCGGATATTAGGGACAGTACTGCTGTATTTGCACATGGACATGTTTCCTTGTATAATGTTGGGGTGGAATTGCTGGATTACATAGTTGTTCTGTTTACTGAGAAACAGCTAACTTGTTTTTCAAAGTGGCTTATAGTATTTTATATCGCCATCCACAATATATAAGGGTTCCAATTTTTTCACATTCTCACCAACAATTATTATTTGACCTTTTGATTTTGGCATCAGAGTGAATGTGAAATTAGCATCACTAGGCACTTAAGTTTTATAACATGATTTTTTGAAGAGATGTATACAGTGACATGGAAAAATGCTGACTTGTATGTCTGGGGTCACAGTTGGACAGTTCAAGTGCATTTCTTAACCTCTCTAGACTTCAGTATCTGCATCTATGAAACAAACAGCTCTGTGGATGTCTGAGGCCTATCTCGAAAAGTCAAATCCAATGACATGATTAAAGGACAGACTTATTTATGGTGTTTTCTAATGAAACATGTCCAGGAAAACTAGGTCTAATTAAGCAAGGTAACTGCAGGCTTGAAAGTCTAATTCACCTAAGAAAAAGCAAAAATTTTTAATATGAATATATTCTAATTCTGAAAATTATGCATTTTGTTTTAGCAAGGCAAGCATGTCAGGGTATTTTACAAAAGAGGTTGTGTTCAAAATACTTGGAAAACAATGGGTTGGACACGTTGTGGTAGGCTTTTATGTATCCAAAGTCCATTGTCTTCTTCTTTAACATTAATTTGCTGGCCAAGTGCACGGTGGCTAAGTGTGACAGACCTAAGCTAGTCACTGCAAGCCTATGTTCTGATTTCTCAGCCTTCTTGTGTATGGGAAAACTTTTTACTGTTCCTTTCACTGAGTTGCAGCAATTTTAAACTTCTGAAGCCTTCCTTAATCCGATTACACAGAAATGTTACATTATCTGGTTTTCGGCAGTATTGCCTGCATTAACAACCATCACACTGACACTCATAAATAACTTCTCTCCTCATAGGTATCGGTAGCTCCTACAGACTCAAAAGGATTTTACTTTTCTCAGGGTTCCCAAGCCTAGCAACGCTAACTGAACTGAGCCAAAAAATCGAAATGGCTAGCACTTCATCATTGGAAACAGAATCTGTCCTCTCTTTTACAAAAGAGGGCACTTTTCTTCCATGTACTTGCACTAACCCCCCAACAGGAGAAATCGTTGAAGGGCGAGCTGCAGCCAGATCTGCTTTAGCGAGCAAGGTACCAATGATAACAATAACTTAGTGCCTGTGGATGCCAGGCGTTTCGCCACCCATTTGAGACATTATTCTCTGAATCATCTTATAAAATACACTATACTGTTACTGTATACGCGCCACCGAGGGTCCTAGGGCTTCCGTAACTTCCTCAAACAAGATCACAAGCCCAGGAGACTCCACGCCAGAGCCTCAGCTCTTAAGCACCAGAGGCAACTTCTGCAGAGCGGCTATTGTGATAAACTGCTCTCCCAACCCATCCCGAGGTCCTCCAGGCTCCCTTTTGACTGCGAATATTGCAAAGTTGTAAGTGGAACTCATTAGGCGGGAAGGCGGAGGCCTGGCCACGAGAACCCTGTGCTCTCGGCGCTCCGGCCACCGCGCTGGGTCCCAATCGTAACATTAAAAGACAGCGAGAAGACATCGCCTGGTCACTCCAGATCGCCCTGCGCTACGCCAGAGGAAGCCTCAGATATCTGGGGCCGGAAGCGCGGGGCTGCCATCCGCACCGCTTTTTCTTCACAGGGTTGTATCCATACCATGCTTTTCGCGTTCCTCGAAGGAACCTCACGCTCGTGACCCTTCCAGTCAATGGGCCGTGATCAGATCGAGCGCAGCCAGATTTTCTTTCTACAACCCTCCGACCGGAAGTGGCGAGCCGGAAGTCCCGCCTACCACAGGGGGCGGGCGAGCAACATGGCGGCGCCCAGCAGCCGGTGAGGAGTGGGGACCCTGGGATCCCGGGGAGCGGCTGGACTCATGCATTATGGCCGCATTCCCGCACACTCTCTCCTCACGCCTCCTGACAGGTACTGTAACCCGCCCCGAGCACAGCCTCGGGAAAATTCGCCTTTTTTTTGCCATTTGAGCAGCCATGGTTCCTGCTGGCTGCAACCTTGAGAGCCCTTGGCGAGATTCTCTGGACGCCGTCGAGGGAGGTGACCTTTGGAGTACTCTAAATTGAAGAGGCCACGGAAGTGTGGACCAGTCTTGCCCTGTGGCCCCGGTGGTCCACACCATGTCCATTTCCTTAACCAAGAAAGTGCGGGGTTTGGGCTGGGGATCCAGAACCTAGTATCTCCACAAACCTCTTGGTTGATCAGAGCCACAATTCCTAGCCACTGGCTTTTGATGACAGAGGAAGCCCTTTGCTGTCACTCGATGCCTTATGCGACCGTGAGGGATCATGATGATAATGATAACTGCTGACAGCAGCCCACAATCCCCCATACTGACTTTGTACCCTCAGTACGGTTCCTCAGACAATCCCCCCACTTGAAGGATCTGTGATAAGTGTATGCTGAAGTTTGAATACTCATCCCTGGCTCTTAGGAAGGTCTCATCTCAAATGTTACCCTTTCAGAGAAATCTACCCTGTCCTTCCTGTCTAAAATAGTGCTCTGCTGTGTGTCTGTCACATCATCTTATTTCTTTCTTTCCTTATGGTTAAGTCTTTGAGAGAGAGAAAGAGGGTGCCAGATGTACCCAGTACACACTTGCGGAAAAGCAAAACTTGTATATATATTTTAATACTAAATTTATTGAGAAATCAGGAGACTAATGCAAGTTACTTTTGGCCTCTACAATTACAAGAGATGCTCAAAGTGGTGACCATTAGTTTGTAGACATTTATTAGTATGGCTAGGGTAGCCTTGGTTATTGAGATTGCTGTGCATAGATTTTCAGTTTCTTCTCTAAAGACCTGCAACATAGTGGGTTTTCTACTATATATGACATCCTCTAGGGTCCCCCACACAAAGGTGTTTTTTTTTAACATCATCTGTTAAAAATACCATACTATTTTTCTTTTCCTGAAATGTGTGTGTGTATTTTTGGCCCCCTCTGTGTCTCTGTCTCTGTTTCTGTCTCTGTCTGTCTCTCTGTCCATGTATATATGTATGTAGTTTTTCTCAACTGCATTATAAACTGTCCAGAAGTAGGAGGGTATGGACAATGGCTGTTCTGGTCCACCCAATGTTTGTAATAATACCTTATGCACATTGTTGGCTCTCAGTATACATTTACAAATGAATGAAATTTGGCCTATAAAGAGGAGGCTGTGAATTATTTTGCCCCTCTGGTCTATAGTAGAGATCAGATAGCAGAAGACAGGGGCTGCCTTTTGGTTATACTTCAGAAACTTTTCAGTTTTCACCTACCACACAAGCCTACTGCACTGTCTAGCAGTCTTGATCACTGTAATTCAGTATACCTTTTGTCCTTATTTTTCAAAGTGTTACTTTCATGGGTCTCTTCTAGTCTGTGTGACCTCAGGGCAAATCAGGTGACTGTTCTAGAATTCAGTTTACTTCTCTATAAGATGAGATAATTAAACTGAATGATCTCAAAGGTCCCTCATAAAGTGGGCAAGAGAGTAGAAGACTATAATACAGGAAACAAAGTTGACCAAGGTTTGTTAACTGGTGAACCTGGAGGATGAGCAATGGGTCTGGGGGGATTGTTAGGCTATTCTGCCTTTATGTACACTGTTCTTTTCAGTAGAATAATACTACAATTTCCTAACTATCTCATTTATATGTACATATGTGTGTGTGTGTGTTTTCCTTTCTTTTTTCTTTACCCCATCCAAATTCTTCTTTCCTTTTGAGCAGTTTCTTTCCTTTTTGCAATATTATTTCTCAGTGTTTTACTTGTCCCCTGTGTATGAAGGCTTCTCCCATATGCATCCCTAAGACTAGCTGTTTTTCTGCCTTTCCATTTTATATTTTAAGCTTCCTGTAGTACATACAATTCTACTTAACTCTTCAGAATCCCCCAGTTCCAATACATGGTCTGCACATGGTCTACGTACTTAGTGGCTGAATGTCTTTGTATTAGTCGTATGGAAAGAATTAGTAGACAGCTTGCTTTCTAAAACTGTCACCATAACACCAACAAATCTGCTAGTAAGTTGTCTGTATGACTTACTATGATTCATTTGAAAGATCCACAAAGAACTTGATAGGGAGAGATGAAAAATAAGGCCAACTGTGACTGCGTTAGATATACAGTAACACATTAGATAGGTATGGCTTTTCTTATTAAACTTTGTAATATTTTATAGCCATTTATAAGTTTCAGAAGCTTTCAGCTCTGGTCTTCTTTGATTTTAGATGCCCTACAAACATGATCCGGGTTGATGGAAAATAGTAGTTACAGTGACATTTTCAGATTTTTTTTTTTTTTCTCGTAGGTAATAGAGTGATTGAACCTAGTGCCTTCACTATATCCCTGGACTTTTTAATTTCCTTTTTTGTTTTTTTAAACTATTTTAGACAGGATCTTGCCAGGTCACTGAGTTGTCCAGGCTTGGCTTGACCCCCCCCCCTCCCCAGAGTCCTGGGATTGCAGGCATGCATAGGGATACCTGGCTGATTTCCAGATTTTTAATATTATCTGTTGAAAACCATGTGTGCTGTATTTCAGAATCAAACACTTGCTTTTTTTTCTAGGCATTGATTCATATTATGTATTATGTTTTGACTAAAGAAAATGTTTTTACGATTCGTAAGTCTAGTTTCCTAGCTGTTTTAATTACTGATATGCTATAAAATGTTCAGTTTAGCTCACTTAATCTTGAAAGATATTTTTCAAGGTGATGCCAAGGCAAAAGCATATTCATGTCTATGGAAAATATTTCAGCGAAGTGGCTTATCTGCAGTGTAAAAATACTTCCATATATTTTAAGAGGCTTTGATAGTTCTCTTTCTCATAACCCAGGAAGGCTACATGAATCATCCAGTCATGAAACATTATTTCATTATTATATGGAAAATACTGTACTAATAAGATCAATAGAGGCCCTGCCATTGTGTTTAAAAAAAATGTGATATTGGAAATAATTTGCACTAAGAAATGTCATAAAACGTGGTATAAAGAGAATAATTAAAAGATACTTGGAAAGTTTCACAGGCCAAGAGTTGATTGTAAGCAAAGAAACAACATAACATTAAGCAAATTGTAAACTGTGTAATGTGTTTAGTAGAATGTAATGAGCTAAGACTGCTTTGCTGAATTGTGTCTGTAGCTTTGGGTGAGTAATAGGCAGTGTTCTGGGCTTCAGGAAGACAGTGTTTGGCTGTGGAGAATGTGGATTGGAGTGGGAAAGAAATCACTGGAGGCAGGATGACTGACTTTATTAGTGCTGCTGTTCCCATGGTCCAAATATAAAATCATAGTGGCCTGTATCGGTAGGAATGGATGGAGTAGACAGTGTTAACCTGTATTTTGGAGTTCATTGTATAGTATTTGATCATTGTTAGATGATAAAGGAAGAGGAACCATGATCCTGAAGTCCTAATAAGTAATATTTTTTTGTCTGAAGTGAAGAATAAAGTGTTCTTAAAGATATATTGCTGTCCATCCACATGGAGATACCAACAGCAGTTACGTATAGGGCTCCAAATGTCTCTAGAAGTGGGTTGAAGATTAACAATTACCCATTTGCTCAGGGGTAATTATTTTTCAGTATTTATTGTTCAGGACAGTGAGAACCCGATTGCGTTAATGCAACAGACACAGAAAGAAGAGACGCTGTAGGAAACTGAAAGCCAAAAGCAGAGAACCAAAATAATCTTCCATCGTGGAAACCATGGGAGGAGAGACTTCTAACAAGAGAAGGACTGTACTGTTGTACAGACTGTCCAAAACTTGACTAGGATGAGGTCCGAGACAGAAGTTTTGAATTTGTTGATTTGAGAGAGATGTAGAAGAATGATTATAAGCCAAATTTGGATTCAACAAAAATAGTTATTTCTTAACTGATGGATAAAAAATCACATTTCATAACTAAAATATTTATTATTAAAATGTAAATTTCACTTAAAACCTTATTAAAACTAGCTGTGTTGACAAGATATTTGTCATTTCATTGGAAACTATTTCCTTTTAGTTGTCTTAATCTACATGACCAAAGTATTAACCTGTAGTATATATATTTCTTTTTACTGTCATTTGTTGACAAAATGTGCTTTTCATTTTCTGGTTTTTAAAAAATAACTGAACTAATTGTTTTGTGTTTGTCTCTTAAAAATATCTAGAGTGTAGTAATTTCAGCCTTTAATATAATGAAAGTATAATGATCCAGCATTTCTGAGACCTCCTAAGGTATTGTATTGATTTAAATGAGCATGGTTGATAAATTGCCTTTATTTACAAATCTGGATTAGATTGTTTCAGAATCTGATCTGTCACACAATACAACACTGGACTGGCTTTGCTTCTGCATAGGTACAGTCATCATTTGGTGAGAAGCACTGTGATTTTAACATTTCTTCCTTCTGTCTCTGTTCCAGGCTGGGTAGGAGGATGTGTCTGGTATTTAGAAAGAAGAACTGTCCTGGAGTCCCCTCATAAGTTTATGCACCTTTTCAGGAGTGTCAATAAGCAGTGGATTACGTTTCAGCACTTTAAGTTCCTCAGACGCATGGTATGTTTCGAAAGCTTACTCTTGCTTTCTGCATGGGCTTTACTCTGTATGAGGGCGTTTCAGAGTTCCATAACAAAAGTTTTAGAAGTACATTTGAAAAAGACTCGCATAGTACCCTCCTACGTTCATCCAAACATTTAATCTGGTTTTCTTAAAAATTATTTTTAACTGAAACCAGAGTAATTCTGGCAGTTGAGGTCAAAAGTATGATCTTGAACTTAATGATTTAAGTTTGGAGAAAGATTGGAAACTTGTGGCATCTTTCAACTAGGCTAAAATGAGGAAAAGCTGAAATTTATGATTCATCTTTTAAAATTGGTTGAAGTTCTGTAAATACGTCAGAAATACAGAAATCATTGTTTTAACAGTGTGACACTCCTATTTTGTGAATCAGCAGTGCATTTAAAAATCTTTTTACCCCCCTGGCAATGGGCAAAGACACACCTCATTGGTGGTGTTATTCTTGTATCAGTCAGGGGCAGAGTAGACAACAGTCCTTTGTTCATCCTAGCTTGATGCCTGGTTGGTGGCCAGAGCTGTTTCATGCTTAGGACACATGATTTAAAAAAAAAAAATCTTTTAACATACACACTTTGCAGTAGACATAGATTCAAGGTTTTTTCAATTTTCCAAGCATTTCATAATGGGCATTTATAAAATACCTCAGTTATCTTATAGATCTTTTTCTATGTTAACTACATATGCTGTGCACAATATCATGACTTACTCTCAATTATAAGTGACAGTATTTGCTACTTTATCAGACAGGGACGTAGAGTGGCAGTGTCATTGAAAGCTCATACTACCCCATGAGAGAATGACAAATTCACATTCTAATGCCCTGTTTGACATTTCTGTTATATTTTCTTAACTTAAAATGCTTATTATTAATTGTAAATTTAACTTAAAACCTTATTAAAACTGTCTATATTGACAGCAGATTTGAGTTTCTAGAAATATTCCTACCTTTGAAGTTGGGAAATCAAGGATGTTTGGATATTTGGAAAAAGTTGAATATATATAATGCCTTTTTATGTAGGCATAACTATGAATTCATCAACTTGTAGTTTCTGTCCAAGACTAAAGTTTTAATTTCAGGTCTTTGTACTGTACTAAAAACTAGTACAGTAACTAGTACAATATAGTACTAGTTTTTAGTACAGTACTAGTTACAGTATTGTACTAGTTACTGTACTTAACTAGTTAGCAGCATAGATAGCTTCTCCTCCTAGGCTACCTATAACTGATTATTTACTCTTGCTTTTGTCAATTTTAGAGGCTTGGTTTCTTCATCTATAAATTTAAAAAAGAGAAAGATAATCCATCTTCTTTAACAGCTTTCGAAAAATTGAATGATGTACAAAATAAAATGGCTGACAAATGTTAGTCATTCCTAATTTTTAAAGTGAGAAGCACTACCTGACTGAAACCTGTGTTCTTTCCTCACACCATACTGCTGGGATGTCTTTAACCTTTGAATTACTCCTTGCCACTGAGTCTCTGTCAGCACTGTGCCAAAAAACATGGAAAATTTATATACTTGATTTCAGAAAATTTTTTCATTGTATTTGGAATGTTAAACTTCCAGGATGGTGAGTAAAATGAAAAATAGATGTATTTTCCCTTCAAGGGACGTAAAGTTTTGGAATTTTCTAAACCATGTAATTTGAAAATCATTGCTGATGTATTAATTTTTTTCTCCACATGTTTTCAATATGGTTATTTCCATGTCACGGATACTCAATAAGTACATGCTGAATTAACAGTAAAGTTGGAGATGTTCTCAAGTACTAGAAAGATAGAGTGATCAAAGATGTTTTTTAACAACCTTTTAAGAGCATTTGAGGCCTATTTTTATTTTTGAGATCAGTTCTTATTGTGTAATACAGGCTGAGCCTTAAACTCACTATATAGTCTAGGCTGGCCTCAAACTTGTGGCAGTCCTCCTGCCTCAGCCTCCCCAGTGCCGAGATCACAGGGGACCACTAACACACCCAGTTCGAAATTTTATAGTAATGCGTTTCATTTTGTGGTTGTTTCCTAGTATGTCACACAAGTGAATAAGATCCGGAACCAGCAAGTGAAACCAAAGCCAGAACCAGTGGCACCGCCTTTCCTTGAAAAAATGCCTTCAGGCGAAGCCAAAGCAGAACTAGATGAGCTGAGACCTGTGTCATCTGCAAGCCTGTCTCTGTCCACAAAGCCGAATGAAAAGGAGCTGCTAGAGCTAGAGTCTGCCTCCGTCATTGAGAGCTCCATAGATGTGGACGGGGAGACGAAGGAGGAGAAACAGTGGAGAGAGATGAAACTGCACCTGGACGACTTGCCTGGCATTCTGGCTCGACTCTCCAAAATAAAACTCACAGGTACGTCATGTTTTCACATCGCTACTCACTTCAACTTATTTTTACTTAAAAGGATGATTTGAAGATCATCACAGTACTTTTTGCCTTTTCTATTTAATTAACATTCAAAATCAGATTTTCTGAATTCGCCTTACCCAGGACTGTAAATGATGTAAGTGGACAACTACCCCTGCTTTTATTTCAGTTAGAGTGCTTATCCTGCTGAATTCTTTCCTTGGCTAGTGTTTTTACACCTACTCTATTTTAAAAGTGTAGCACAAGAAGAATTGAACTGAGGATGTGAACTCACAGTGACTCACACTGGGGCCCTGGGCCACTCCGTGTTTTGCTTCTTGTAGGACCTGCGGGCCTGTGCCAGGTGTCTGGGGAAACAGAGTGCTTTACTGCAAGGAGCTTTGGAACCAGAGGGCTTTTCCCAAAATCTAGTATGCTATAGCAAGTTTTGTTGTACACTTGGCTACCAATCCATAATTAAGTCATTTGGGTGTGACAGCCAACCTGTGATTCAGGTAGCACTGTATTATCTCATAGCTCAATTCAGTGGCCAGGGATTTAGCTCAGTGGCATAAGTGCCTGCCTGGCAAGCGCAAGATCATGAGTTCAATTCCTGGTACCAAAACAAAAAGGAAAGAAAGAAAGACTTTATTCCATACTAAACCTGTATATGGTCTAGATCATCTGCATACTAAAGAACACCTACTTTCTTATCTTCTTGAATGAGAATAAAGAGACTTGCTATAATTGGTGAATGATAAGGCTAAATGAAATACCATATGAGGACAGAAAGTGGAAACCAATGTGGTGGAATCAAATAAATAGGAGAGGGAGTCTTTGTGGGATTAGAGAAAGATCTGAGAAAGAATGATTTTGGTTGACTTGGTAGAGTGGAGCCTAAAAGTCTAGTGTAAAAGGATGGTAAGTTAGACAACTTCTTATGTAAGTGAGCAGCTACACTTAACATCCTTTGCTGGGGAATGGTAAGTGGACATAGTGGATTTTATGCAGGAGCTGAGGAGCTTCAGTAAGGCTTGTGTAATGTTGGTCTAAAACAGTGAAGCTGGTTTTGCATGATACCCTGTCTTCATGCCTTATGCTAGCTGAGCAAGAAATTGCCTTTCTAAAGAACTTAGTCTTTTGTCATTTATAAAAGCGCCCTGAGTGTCAGATTGTTGACATGTTAAAAGTGACTGTACATAATTTATGATTATGAGGATGTCACCCAAGAAATGAGGCCTCTCAAGCCATAGGCATTAGAAGTACTCCCTGTCGGCAGCAGGATCTTTGTATGCACCATCATTTAACATATCTGGTCTGCAAATTAGCTCTCCTTTCTTATCGGTCCATTTCTGTCTGCGCTTCCTGCATTCTTCAGCCCCCTCAGATGAGAAACCTTAGGAACACTCTTAACTCTTTGTGCTCCATTCTCCCCTTCATCTCTAATCAAATGTGCAAAGTTTATCAAGAGAATGTTTAGCAATCCCTGCAAGGCTTACTAAGTCAGTTAAGAATCAAATCACGTAATGTGTTAAAAGCACCCAATAATCTTTCAGCCAGAACTGCCGTCTTCCAGTAATTTGCCAAATGACGCACACAGAGGGAAAGAGGGAGGGACCCGGGTAAATGTTCTCTAGGCCTTTTAGAAAACATGGAGTGTTCCTTTGGCTTCATACGTGAGAATCTACAAAAAGGGTGATACTGAAGACATGAAGGGAATGGGTGCTGTGTAAAAAGGAGTGCCACACAAATGCTACCCTGGCAAACAGGAAGCATCTGCAGTTTTACCCAGCACAGTGTTGGCATTATTGTGAACAAGCAAGTTAAAGAAGACACTAGCCATGAGGATTAATATGCATACTGAGCACATGAAACACTCAGAGAGGCATGATAGCTTTCGGAACCGTGGTAAGGATAATGGTCAGAAAAAAAAGGAAGCCGAAGAGAAAGGTACCAGGGTTCATCTGAAGCGCTGGCTTGCCCAGCCCGGAGAAGCACACTCGGTGAGGCCCAATGGGAAGGCGCCTGAGTTGCTGGAACCTGTTCCCTGTGAATTCATGTCATAAGCTGGGGATAGACTCTGCCATTCAGCACCTAATTAGCGGCTAAGAGTTCTGGGTCCTACTTGAAAAATCATCCTGTGTTACTAGGATAGCTTTCTTAATTGAACAGGTGTGTGCTCCCTTTATCTCGGGAACAAATATTTGGAGCAGATTTTCATTCTACCTAATAAATTGTCAGGTCTTTACTCTTCAGTGTTGTTTTGTTTTGTTTTGTTTTGTTTTTGCTGAAAGATATTGCTGAAGTATTGTGTACATATATACCCAAAGGGCCAAATATTCATGCAATGTTTATATTGGCTTGAAGATCCATAAATCATCATGGGGAAAAGATGCATCAAAATAAATGGAAGTCCATTTCAGTTAAGTAAATTGTTTAAAGTTAAAAAAAAAAACACCAAAACATCTACAACAGAATAAACAGCATGCCTGATAACACAGGAGATACCCAAAGATCAGTTTCCAAATACTTACAGCTAGCCACTTGTAACCACTGGATCGTATGCTTAATGTGTATTGTTTCCCTAAGATTATTTCTCCCTGTGCAGGAGGTTGAGGTGAAGAAGTATGTAATAGGTAGAGAAGACAAGGAAGGAATTGTAGGCGGAAGAAACCTCTGCAAAGGCAGAGAAGCCTTGTACCTCCTGACAAGTTCACAAAACCGAAGTTTGACTGTGAGTGACACAGCATGATGAGAATGATACAGAGAGGTGCTCTGGTGGCCTGGGTCAACTGAGATTGAGGGTGGAGTAGGGGTCATGCCATCACATGGGTGGACATAGCATGTTGAAGCATTCAGCTGCTGTACCACAGTGATGAAACGTCCTGGAAGGTTCCTGGAAAGCGTGTGATCACTTTGTGTTTTATCTCACTTATCATTTAGTTGTACCGGTTACAGTTAATATAAGCTTATTATAAAATAGATAGTACAGAAAGGGTACGTTTTGAACTGGAGAAGCAGTACCCTTTCCATCAGACTTGTTGAAATGTAATCTCTATATATCCATTTCTGCAGATGTAGATACAACTATTTTCTTTGACAGAAACAAGACTATACTATACTGTGTATATATAGTACAGGACTATACTGTATACTGTGTAGTAGTACTACATATGTCTAATATTACGTGTGCATAGCATACATGTTAAATGCTATCTATACTATAATATATATTGTATGATATATTCATATCATATATACTATACTGTTCATATTCAGTATTTTTATAGAAAATATAATGTGTGTGTTATGGAACTGGCTATTTTCTTATAAAAGTATGACTTTCATTGTCAGTAAATTTCCTCACTGCATAGTATACCATTATACAGATCTGTGATTATTTATTAATACTCTACTAGTAAATATTTAGGGTATTTCCAATTTTATGATATCAAAGCTGGTAATTAACTTTTATGTGCCTAAATCTTTATATGCATTCTTGAGCTAATCTGTAGGATAAGTATTTAAGAATGTTATAAAAGACTTTAAACATTCTAGTTTTTGATAAGTCAACCAATTTATTCCTCAAAAAGGTAGTATCATTTACACTCTCTCTAACAGCATGTGAGAATCTGATTCCTTCTTTATACTGTTCTGCATTTGCCAATGTTTTCTATTAAAAACATTTTATATAAATTTTCATTGGTTAAGTTTTGGTAAGATTTAGCATCTTTTTTGATCATGTATTTTTTTTTTATTACATGTTTCTTACATTCTTGGTTACTTCTTAATAATTTTTAATAATTAAATGTGATATATTCAAAACACCCAGTAGCATGGTTGACACATGGGAGGCACTAAAAGGTTAGTTTCCAAATAATTGCAGGGAAATCAAGAAAATCAGCGTTTCATATATCACATTTGTTTCAAATATTTCTTTCATATCTTGTCTTTTTAATTTTTACTTTACTTACGATATTTTGTTGGTTTATTTTGCTTTGCCCACTGAGGTATTTAACTTTTATATATTCAAAAAAGTTTTTTTTCATTTTCAGAATCTTTCACCAGTAGATGTTTATAAAACCTTTCATATTTTTTGTTTTTGTGTTTTCTGTGGTTGGGGACTATCTGGAATGTATCTGGGAGGAGCAGTGGGATTAAGGATACTTCTGTGGTAGCACTGGTGGGCAAGGATCAGCTCATGTGTAAATACAGTTTTATTGAAACACAGTTATGCCTATTTGTCTGCACGGTTACTATGCTACAGGGACAGTTAAATGACTGAGATATGAAGGCTGGGGAGGTCTGGGACACTGTGTGGTCGCTTACAGGAAAAGACCTGCTTACAAAGAGCATGGACTAGGACAAGGCGACGTAGGGGCAGACGGTGATGGTTCTGATAAGAAGTGACCTGGGGTTGAACTGACCGTGCAGTGGGGATGAACAGAGCCCTCGGAAGATGTGGTCGAGTGCTCAGGAGCCGCAGAATCAAAAGCTGAGGACATGGAGTTGCAGGGTTCAAACCTAGATGAAGGAGGTATTGCCCAGCTCTCAGAGAGACACACAGAGACAGACAGCGGGAGAGAAAATCAGAATGAGAACAAATCTTGTACTGGCGTGTATGGAGGCAGAGTGTCTGCAGTCGCGTCTTAGCTCTTGCTAGCTCTCTGACGGTGAGCCATTTCTGCGATCTCTGAACTAGGTGTAATAGTGGTACCTAGTTCTGCTCATAGGCTTGTAATAGGTATTAAGTGACTTGACATTTGCGTATTACATACCTGGTGCATGTTAAAAAATGTGCACCTGTTTCTTAAAAAGTAAAGGTGACACCTGTTTACCCCACAGACATTTGCCACCTCTGCTATAGAAAGACTCCAACTTTGAGTGTGGGAAATGGTGCATGGTGGTGCTGAGACTTACCACGTGGATATAGCAAGAAGAAACAGGTTTGTGGAGAGCATAATGAGTTCAGTTTGGGGCAGATGGAACTTGAGTTGCTGCTGGCG